GTAATTACGACCTGAAAATGACACTCTCACTACACTCTGAGCCATTGTCATGCTGGAACTGGCCTCATCGGTCCTGAGTGTTATTATTTTCATTCTCATTGCTTTGTTCTCCACGACCTCCATTTTGTTGTTTGATCTTTAAGGCTTGGTCTGGGGGTTTTCAGCTTATATTAAATTCAACAAATGGCACCATGGCATCATTCTGGTCAACCCATTTTATATTCTGGCATCGATTTTTGTGCAATTTTCAGATTTTTTCCCCCACATTTTCTTGTTATAATTGTTGACATCTGCAGTGATAACAGATAACATAATTGTGAATTAATTCAACTCAGACATCAGAGATGAAGAAGAACATTGTAGTCTAATTTCTGGGTTTTCTGTTCCATTTGTCCTGGATGGAAAACAACATTCTCTGCAAGGCGAGGATGACACTTCCATTACTTGCTTTGACTCATATTGTTCTTGCGAGGAATCACTGAAAATCTCATAGGTGGGCGTCAGGATCCAAAAGATGCATGTCTGCAGGGACTCGGATAAATGTCACATTATCTTCGTGATCTCTATCTTCTGAAATGGCATTACTATAAGATCTAAATTAAATTTCTCCTTTTCCCCTTTGTTTCTGTCATAGAACAGAACAGATTTTTGAAAATAACTTTCTAGTTTTATCAATTAGAGGATTAAACAAGTGGGAGATACCTTAACAAAAGTAGATGGTGATCATGCATGTTAATGTTATCCTTGCCTGTAAATGGCTTCCTCATTTTCCTTGAATCCTGCCACCTCCATGCTGAAGATTATGAAGTGCCTCTGCAAGAGATCGTGGTTAATTAACACCCTCTGTCAGCCGAGACAGATGAATGGGTCTTCTGCTTCCCAGGAGACGAGATTTATGGCTACAGCAACACTATGAACGAACATGCAACTCATGTGTCATGTGGTGCACAGGTCAAACCACTTCTTAGTCTCTGACATCAAGTAACATGCCAGTGATTATATTTGCACACAAAGCATCAAGGATATCCCTCGAGAGCCCGTTTTGGCCACAAAGTGCGAAGGCCACGAAGTGAGAGCTCTCCACCATAACTTTCACCAGCCTCGTGTTTGATCCGATGTTCCTTTTGAAAGCTAGTCCTTGTATTTGCACATGACAGCAGACTTAAAGGCCTTTTATACTAAATCTTGTGCCTCAGAAAGTGCTTTGACCTTTTGATTGGTGCCGGGTGCTTTTTGAAGACAAAAGAAAAATCCTTCTCTTTTTTTATTTCATTTATTTAGCTGATGCTGTTATGATGAGTGACTTAAATGGTTATTATGGTAAGATAAACCCACGCTAAGAGAACGACAGGGTGATTGTTGTTGTTGGTAAATAAAGGAATCAAGAATCCCTTGTTCAGACTATCCATTAATTTTCCAACAGGACCATCTTAGATATGCTGAATGGGGGGAGGGCACAAGACTGGGGGATATCTGATGTGTATATTTAGCCAAAACGAGTTCTTCTCCAAGGGCTTGTTCTGCTATACAGCACTGACTCTGCCTTTAATGAATTCAGTCCCTTCTGCATACGGATTTATCCAGTGCAGGGTGACGCTCAGGCTAAGGCTGATGCCAAGAAGTCGGTCCATCGCAGTGCAGATACTCACTAATATGCAGAAGCCCACTGCGGCCACCGGGGAGCGACACTGAGGCGCCTGACTGCTCACTTTCGGATGTGGGGCGGAACTCTGCGTGTGCACGTATACACACACACACACACACACATACATACACACACACACATACATACACACACACACACACACACACACATACACACACACACACACACATACACACACACACACATACATACATACACACACACACACATATATACATACACACAGATAGACACAAAGACACACACACACACACACAGACCTGTACTCATATCTTTGTGGGGACTCATTTCTATGGGCAAAACTCTAATCCCAACCCGATGACCTTAACCAAAACCTAACCTTAAACATAAGTAACCAAACAAAACACACGACTTTTAGTTTTGTGACTGCAGTCACAGAGCTTAACCCCCAGGGTCAAAATAACAGGTTTTTATCCATCGGTGGAGTATGCGGGGGGGGGGGTAGTGCCTTCCTAGACACCTGGCTTCTATCCACACTGAAACCAGTGAAAATGTATGTTCTGTAGGTATTAGCCTACACTGTGAATTGATCGGTAAATTTTAATTTTTGTGCCAATATGCTGCAGTCACACTGTGTACCAGGCTGTACTTAGCGTCATACAGATCAGCAACAAGGAAAGCACCAAAGAAAGCACTTCCTTCAATACCGTTTACTTCCGACGCGAGGGTGTAACTCGTGGGATCAAATCAGGGATCGGTCACGTGAGGAGTAGGAACCAATCAGAGCGCTTTTCAACGCTCTTCGAGCGTCGTCAGAAGTCTCCGTTTTTGCCGGTTGTGAACTCCAGGGTAGTGTGGATGAAAGGTGAGTGGAGGCTTATGTCTGCGTTTTTAAACGGAAGTGCAGCAGTCAGAAATAACTTCCCCTGCGTTAGGTAAATGACGTTTTCAGTGTTTCACCTGGATATCAAACAGAAGGTTATCATGCACGAATTTAGCAGTTTTTTTCGGCTAGCTGTGTGAAGGTAGTCTGCCATCGAGGCTCAGTAAATCGATAATGATGTGAGGCTATAACTGTATTCTGTCATGGCACTTTGCACCTTTGCATAAGAGGCTTGGTTGTACCCTGTAGGCAGGCAGAGAATAGGCTGTGTGCATCACATATGTGCCTTAACATGCACGGTAAGCCAGATGCAAGTTTCTCCTTGCCCCCTAAACCAACCGCAAACATGACACTTTGCATATATTTTTATCACACTGTGGGGACATTTGGTCATCAGAAAGTAATATATATATGCCCCCCCCCCCCAACACACACACACACACAGCTGAGACTGAAGTCACATGACCCTGGAGGATGAAGGCCACAGGGCTTAATTATTTCAATCAGTTTATTTTCCCTAAATGACATTTTTAATAAAAAGGACATAAGTGACCCAAACATAGTATATGTCTGTCCTTACATAGCAGCAGGCCATGTAGTGGTGAAGGACATGGACCTTTGATCAATGAGTAGTTCTGGGCCATTGACATTGACTGTAATGAACGTATTTATGCCATCTCTGCTACAGCTGGCCAGCTGAAGGTCTGACTCACGGTCAGATGCCCAACGGGCCGATAAAAGAGCGCAGGCAGGATTAACACGGCACGACGACAACCTGCACGCTACTTGATTTATCAACAACTAGCTGAAGCAACAAAAACACTCGCTGAAGGCCTCTGTAGAACAATGTGGCCTAACCATGAGGCGTTATGGTGTCCTTACTGGTTAATATGGCGTCCTTACTGGTGAATGCCAATTAGCATGACAATAAACATGAATTCCGTCGGCTGGAGCTCTCCTTTCTCATGGTTGCTCACTCCTGACTTCTCAATGCTCCTCATCTCCCGTGGCATAATCTATCTTCTCCTCCTTCCTACCCGTCTTGCTTTCTCCCATCATTCCCCCAGCAGGGGAGTTCATATGTTTCCGCTGGTTTATAAGTTTCTCGTGGCTCTCTTATCTCTGCCGTGTCCGTAAATCATCCGTCATTTGCGTGACTTGGGTTTGGCTGTATTGTTGCCTGCTACACCTCCTCCGTTAAGTCATTTGTCGCTCGCCTGACGTTTTTACCCCGAGGAATCAGATTAAATAAGGTCAATGCCATCTTCATTTCCAAGGCTATTATCTCCAAGAGAACTTTCTTGCATTGTGTGGAAATACCATCTGGAAGGGTTTACTTTTAAGATGAAAATACAGCCATGTAAAGAGGTAAAAGTGGTTTTGAATAGACAGTTAAGGAGGCAAATGTAACTTGGAGGAAATATAGGATGTTTGATGTTTCCATTTCTCAGCCTTCACCGGATGCTGTGCAGTTGTACTTGCGGTTTGTTCTGTTGCTTAGAAACTTCTGTGTATTTGGGTACTGGAAAGGTAGGGAAACGGGCCTGCCTGAGACATTTGGGTGTTGAGGAATGTAAACTGAAGGCTCATTTATTAAACAAAACAAGCAGAAAAACTGAGCTGAAGACGACACAGCAGACCTTCCGCCTATGATAACGCCTGTGCATCTCATTTCAGCCGCATTGTGCATACGGCCCGCTCACAGGGACCTTTAATGTCATTCCAGCTGGGTGCCATTAGTTCATGGATGCTGATACGGCAGCCAGTCATTCTTCATTGCAATTAAAATACGAAAAATAAATTAAGACCTCAGATGACTTGACTTCATTCTCAGACCATTCCGTATCACTCCACAGACCCACTTCCAGAAAGGCTCACGTGAGAACATTAATGTTGTTCCATAATAACGATAACACTAAGAATGAATGGGAATGAATAGGAATGAATAGGAATGAATGGGAATGAATGCATTTATAATTGCACTTATTTGTACTAGGCACGCATGTAACACTGATTCACTAATATTAACGATTTTGGCAACTGGCAAAACTCCACTGGATCACGCTGAACTCATGATCTGTTCACTTCCGTAACTGTTGGCCAACAAGCATATTTGAATCTATGAATTCTGTGTGTGTGTGAAAACATATCCAGTTATTTTAAAAACTGTGTCAGCAGGAAGTGCGATGGTCCAGCTTACTGACCTTCGGGAGAAGTGCTTACCTTGTAAATCCTATAAAAATGTCAGCTAGAAAACATATGTAATATATAATAATAACATCAACCGTATCACTCACCTGGATAAGCAGTTTGGAGCCTGGATGACTAATAATGTCAGTGTGAAACTTGGATAAACATTATGTCAACGTGCCAGGAACTGTGTAGACTACAAATTTTGTAGTATCTGACCTTTTTTTCTTAGACGAACATAAAAACTTGCTGGGCTGGGTTGTGAATTAATGTTGTTTTTTTTTTTTATTAATCTTTCAGAAGCGGCCTGGGAGGAATGGAGGACGTCACGCATGCCCTTGCTCTGTTCTAAGCTTGTTTCTGAACGTCCGAGGAGTTACAGCTGGGACATCTGTGGACAAGGCGAACCCTGGAATGATGCGTTTGCTTCTCCACCAACTGCACTTCAGCTGGCCAAGGCAAACCATGGGCTTCTTCTGAGGACCAGATCGACGACAGCGATTGACTGAAACCTGTCGGGATTCTTTAGCTTCTCGTTAAACTTGGATGAGCGAATAAATTCCGGATTTTTTAAGGAAGGAAAATAAAAACAGCCGGACTCATCATCCAGCCTTTTTCATTTTTACATTGGTTGGCACCCTCAAATGGAGAGGTTAAGGAGAGAATCAGGGTAGAACGATAGAGACAGAGAAGGCTGCTTAGTTCACAGGTAGTTTAATTGGATTTTGTGAGGTTAGTCCCCCAGCGTTATTCCAACCGAGCTCATACTTATGAGGTCAGACTTCAGAGCCAGCTAGTCGGAAAACGAGTCTGCTTCTATCGCTGCTACTGGATTAAAAGTTAAAGGACAGAGTGGGAATAAGAAAGGATTGGAAGATGAGCAGAAAAAGTCTTTGTGGAGGCCGGTCACTGCTGGCCTTTTCGCTGGTTGGGCTGTTGGCGTCAGTAATGGCTCTGGAGTTCGGCGGGGCGCCGGGTCAGTGGGCTCGGTACGGGCGATGGGAAGCTGGTTCGGGGGGTGAGCTGAGCTTCAGCCTGAAGACGAACGTCAGCAGGGCGTTGGTGCTCTACCTGGACGACGGCGGCAACTGTGACTTCCTGGAGCTCCTGATCGTGGACGGGAGGCTCCAGCTTCGCTTCACCATCCACTGCGCCGAGCCGGCGATCCTCCACACGGAGACGCCGGTGAGCGACGAGCGCTGGCACATGGTGCTGCTCACGCGCAACTACCGCGAGACCATGCTGGTGGTGGACAGCGAGGCCAAGGTGGCCGAGGTCAAGTCCAAGCGCCGCGAGATGGCCGTGGTCAGTGACCTCTTCGTGGGCGGCATCCCCCCCGACGTGCGCCTCTCCGCCCTCACCTCCAGCACCGTCAAGTACGAGCCCCCCTTCCAGGGCCTGATCGCCAACCTGAAGCTGGGCGAGACCCCGCCCACCCTCCTCAACAGCCAGGGCATTCAGAGCGATCTGGAGTATCTGTGCACCAAGCAGAACCCGTGTCTGAATGGGGGCCTGTGCTCGATCCAGCAAGGAGAAGTGCACTGCGACTGCACACTCACCCACTACAAGGGGAAGTACTGCAGCGAAGGTGAGAGCCTCGCACGCACCCTCATGTAAAGTAGGCAGCCGGATAAATCGTTAAATGCCGGCTTTTCAAGGGAATCGGAGTGATTTTCAGAGTTTGAGGTTTCACAACCGGTCCAACTAGTGCGTCTTAATAATGCATACGTGAGGCTGCTCTATCAGGGGCTTCTCTTGTAGCTTTTTTTTTGGGGGGGGGGGGGGGGGGGGTGGGGTTCGGAAGGCAGCACGCAGACTGAGTGGGATCCCGCAGCTCAGTTTGCCTGGATTATCGAGGCACTACAGGGGGAAGAGAAAAACAGCTGAAGGGGAAATTTTGTAGGCTGTCATCTGGAATTGTGCTCCGGCAGATAACCTTTTCCATTCCGACGAATTAAACGCCGGGCGAAGGTGGTGAAAATGAAATACGCTTAAGCTAGCAACTGCAAAATAAAATAAAGGGCGAGCAACTTCTGGGTCCTGGGCAGCTGGCAATGTAAATGTAGCTGCCATATTGCTGTGAGCGATCTAATCTAATTCTGTTGTCACCTTAATTATAATTGCTCGCAAAAATGTGACTTGGCTTATGTGACTTTAAACTCTCAGGAAGAAGGTTTCACTTGAAAGGCATTTTGCGTTTATTTATTGCTTTTATCCAAAGCAGTGTACAGTTGAGAAAGCAGGGTCAGCCGGTGCCAGACGCATTTGAACAGTAAGGGTCCTGCTTATGGACCCAGCAGTGAAATAACTCCCACGGGATTTGAACCAACAACCTTCTGATCACAGGCATGAGGACCTGGCCTACATGAACCCTGCTTTATTATGGTTTAAACCACCTTAATAAATCCTAAAAACGATGCATCGTAGTAGAACTCGTAGTTCTGTTTTGTTTCCTTCCTGCTGTCGGAGTTACAAACCGGCGTCTGCTTGCTTACCAAAGAGATGATGTGTGGCTCAGCCAGAATTTGGGTTAGTCTTTTAGTTGATGTGTTAAAGATGGGGCTTTTCCTCGGTTGAAACATAGTAGTGGACCACTCTGGTGCATGAAAGCCTTTTTCAACGGCTGATTATGTTTCATCCTTAATTGCATCTGATGTTTCCTGTGTTTAGTGTCTGTAGCGTTTAGAGGGCGGTCATAAAGACCAGGGCTTTACTGAAGCTCCTGTGCTACCACAGTTTGGCCTGGAGCCGCTTTACGAACCAGAGCTTGGCAGAATCTATGTGCATAGAATGCTGAAGATCATTCTTCATGGTTCCCCGGGACACAAAGCGACAGTAGAACCCTCCGGAATTCGTGGTTTGGTGTCATCAAGAAATGTATCGCATTCCCTTTGTTTGCAGTGTTGGGAAGGTTACTAGTCACCCTCTTCAAAATTTTGTAAGTAATGTAACTATTTTGATTACTTTATTAACGCATTACTAATATTACATTTGATTACTTTTCTAAGAAATGTTTTAAACTGGGCAATAAAACTAAAAAGTCCCAACACCTTTGCCGACCATCATTATCTGGAAATACGGCAAAAAAAGGGATTTTTATATGGCGAAAAGATGCAAAGCAAAAAAAAAAAAAGAATTTATAAGCTTTTTACCAAAAAGAATATATATGGATGTAACTCTTTTGTAATCACCAACATTTTGATTAGTGGCTGTAATATCATTCTCTCAGTAATTGTAACAGATGACAGTTGAATTTATTTTGGAATTTCATTACATAACAACGTTACACCGTTAACTAGTTACTCCCCAGCACTGCATGTATACTTGAAGACCTGCCAGAAGCAGGATTGAAACAATGTTCTATCCATAAGTCACAGGCATCATTAACGTCATCTATGCACACATTTGACATAATCAACAGGAATTGATTCACCAACTTAGCTTGAAAACAGCTTAGCAAATTACATGAATGTGATGTGTCTCTATAACCTATAATCTGTAAACTGATTAATAATTAAGTCATTTTTGAAGTGTTTACTTCCGTTTTTCCTCCCTGCTTCATTCGCTGTTTATTCAGATTAGTGAGGGGCATTGAAACACTGTTAGACATTGTTATGAAGTTAGACCAGCATAGTGTAAACAATATTACCCATAAACTGTAGAAAGGCCTTATTAAAATTAATGTAAAAGGTGTGTTAAGTGATATCTACTCTTTCAGCATTAAAGCAATGTTATGGTTGCATGGTCTGGGTGGGTTAATATAAGCTTAATTCCATTAACATTTCACATATTTAACAGATGCTTTTGTTGAAAGCCATGTGCAAAGGAGAATGGACTGGGCGTAAGTGCAGTGAGCTTCCAGTGAACGGCCAGGTGCGGGTGTCAGCAGGATTGGAGCGGGAGATACGTAGCGACTTCCAAACAGAAGAAAGTAGCTAATGAGACCTGGGAGGTGTTCCACAAAGCAGGATTTCTCAGTTAGCTGGGTTTACTTAATCTAGAAGTTATGAGTTTAGGCAAGGAGCATTCCTATTGGACAGTCATGACTTCTAGTAGTGATGCACCAATAAGGAAATTTCAGGCCTGTACCGATAGCCAATTAATTCGAAAACTGATACCGATACCGATTGTTCAGGAGCTTCTGCTTAAGCTTAAAAGGACACTCCGCCCAAATAAATTAATACAGTAACCTCGATGATCAGCCCTTCTCTGTTATAAAGTATGATGGACACCATGATTTTCCGAGTAATATATTTTGATTTCACACTGTCTGAGCTGAATTTTCTTTTGCTATCAAATGCTCGCGTTACTGACGGAGAAGCATTATTCGGCAGCACTGCAGCCGCCTTTACTGGAACAGATTTGTTTCTCAGAAACTCTTCATATCCTTTACGGTCTCATCTTAAGGTGAGCAATCAAATGTGTTATGTTCAGAAATTTATTAATAGATCCTCCTTGTGAAATATTAGCAGAGCACTGTTTGGAAAATACATTTCTAACGTCATTTAACGCTAACGTTAAGATAATTCCACACCGCAGACATAGCATAAGTTTTCCCAGCTAATTGAGAAATACTCCTTCGTGGAACACGCCCCAGTACTGTGACATATTCAGTGACCAGAAATGCAACATTAAGAACATTCCGGGACAGTCATGATCATCAGGCTGACAAAGGAATTCATTATTTCAGTCACGCTTTGCTTTTTATATATGTAATGAAATATTGCTTTATCGTTTATCCGTCCGTTTACGGTAAGACACCGGGTCACCAAACCGTGTTTTTGGACGACAAGAGAGAACCTGCACACGAGAGAGTGAGCGTGCAGAGTCCCCAAAAACGGAGCCCGGCCCGGGGATGGTGCCCACGCTCCCGCGTGGGGGGGGGGCCACAGTGACGCCCACAGTGCCACCGCGTCATCTACTCACCACCAACATGCCATGACCCTCACCGGGCCGTGTCACCGGGCCGTGTTACCGGGCCGTGTCACCGGGCCGTGTCACCTGGCGTGTCACCTGGCCGCGTCACCGGGCCGCGTCACCTGGCCGCGTCACCTGGCCGCGTCACCGGGCCGCGTCACCTGGCCGTGTCACCGGGCCGTGTGACCTGCAGGCACCTGACATTCCCACGTCGTCTTTGTGAATCGTAAACGCAGGTGTCGTACATGTAGTAGTGCATGTTCATCGACACCATAGCCTTGTTTTGCTAAATCCCCATGGCTCTTATATTTAAT